CCGCCGCCCGCGATCTGCGACAGCCCTCCTCTTTCCCCCCTCTCTGGATTGGTTCTCAGTGGCCATGGCCGCCTGGCTTTCCAAGGGAGAAGGCAGAGTGGAGCAGGGGACCACCTGAACACAAATCAGGTCCTGTGGGCCTCTGGAGTCTGCGTTTACCCCCAGAAGGGCCCTGTGTCGGTGCGCACAGAGGGCATTGTTGTCTTCACCCATATTTCGCTGTCACGCCCTCCATCCAGGCATAATTAGTTACATTTGATACCCTCCAAGACTCAGTATATCAGCTGTTTCTGCTTAGTTCTAAAATAGCCTGGAAAAGGGAAATATTCACTCAAACACATTATTTGTCATTTAATGATGGTAAATTGCTGGCTGTAAAGAAAATGGATTTGATTTGTCTTTCAAAACTGCCAACTCTATGATTTTAAAAGGGCATAAATTCCCACCAAAATAGTAGTTATTTTCTTTTCTTTATTTTTCCTTATGGTTTTTTTTTTTCTCCCTTTTGCTTGGGTGCCTGTCCCACTTTGCACAGCCAGACTGTTCTTGCATCCATCCGTCCATCCATTTGCTAGACAGACATTTATGAGTTCTGAGCGCCCATGATAGAACAGGAAGCAGGACACACCAGACTCTGCCCTCTGGGAGTTTTAAGTCTCACTCTAATAGTGCCTATGTGCCTTTCCCAACCTTCTCTTTCTAATCTAAGTATCCTCCGTGCTCAATCCATAGGAAAGCTGGCCTCATCCTTTCCCAGCTGGGGGAGCTCAGCAGTTGGTGCAATGGCCTCCTTCAGGAACCCAAGATAAGCTTGCGACGAGGCTCCCTTAAGTACCTGGGCTGCCGCTACAGTGAGATCAAGCCCTATGGACTCGACTGGTCAGAGCTCAGCCGGGACCTCAGGAAGACATGTGAAGAGCAGACCCTGAGCGTCCCTTACAACGACTATGGGGACAGCAAAGACATCTAGCACCACGAGGCCAGACGGTGGCTGCCAAAAGGAAGCAGGAAGCGAGGAGAGGAACATCTGGGTTGGTCTGTGGATTTTTAGTATTTTTTAATGGAACATTAAAACCTCTAAACCAGGGAGAGGCAATATCTAAACCAGGGAGAAACTGATCCTTGCTCCCTGTGGAACTTCTTTGGTATGATGTTCTCCATCTGCATGATCAGTAGACCTGCCAACCAGCAGCCTCATGCAGTGCCATTTCTCTTTAGGGGATTACTTTGGGGCTTGTTTTATAGTTCATTTGTTTCATTTATTTATTTATTTTTTTCCCCAAGAGGTTCATCACAATGCTCAAGAGTCCTGCCATGCTTCCCATGAAAGGTCTATCAGGTTAAGGCATCCTGGGCTCACTGAATCCCTGAGTCCATTACAATTGGGGACAGAAATGAGGCCAGAATGTCGCCAGACTGGCCTCAGACCCCAGCCACAAGCATTCCTCAGGAAGCATCTCACTCTGGGAGCCTAAGCTCTGCTCACAGAAAAAAAAAATGACAATGGGAAAATCGGGAGGGTGGCCTCTGTGTAGGCCTCATGGTCCCCCCCCCACCCCAGGCCTCCCTACTGCTCGATTCACACCTCATAGGTGAACTCAGCCTCCAATACGGGTCCCAGCAAGTCGTCGGGATTTTTAGGTCCTCGCCCATTTTAAGACAGGATTGGGATGAAATCTCCCTCTGGCGGATCTCTGCCTCTCCTCCAAACAGTGTGAGATCTTTAAGAGGAAACAAAATGCTACCTGTCAAATGCACCTTCCAAACGGTCTATCTGGGAGACTAGTTAGCAGTCACATTCTAGAGAAGAAGTAGGGCTGATTGTTCTAAAAGCTCCTGTACCTCCAGGATGAACTTCTCCAGACCACCAATGTGTATCACATGCCTGGATTCTCTTCAGTGCCCGCGTCAGTCTCCCGGGACAACGCCTGCTCCGGTCCAGGAGGGGCTGAGACCACCACGTCAGGGTTTCAGTGAACTAAAACAATTACTGATCACACACACACAAAACTAATGTCCATTTCTCCCTTGCTAAATTTCCTTAATTATTTTGCTGGTTTTGCAAATGCTTTGTTCTTGTAGGCGAGCCCCCTGATGGCGAGTAGGGGCACAGCCCTTTCTTCGGCCCCTCAACCCTAGTGTTGCTGTCACAAGCAACACTAAGTGGTGTAAGTGGTGGCCCAGCTAATAGGAAGCCCAGCCTTTCTGCAAGAGCTGTGAGGGCCCTGTGGCCCAGCAATGGCCTTAACTGTCCCCACACGCCTCAGAGGCCTGAACACACACCTTCAGCCACCCTGCCTTTGACCAGGGCTCCTCATCTGGAAACACAAGAGAAAGGTCAGGAAAGAGATGCAGGATCTATATGGAACTATACTGATTTTTTTCTAAATAGTAATGACAGATCACATTCACGAAGTGCTCACTATATCCTTGATGCTGCTTGAGCACTTCGCATGTCGCTGAATCCTCATGACATCCTCCCCCGCCCACTGCCTCCCCTCCCAGCCCCACCACCAAGGAAGAGCTATTCCTGGCTCCATTGCAGTGATGGGGAACCGGAGGCAAAGAGCGGTCATGCAACTTGCCCCAAATGCCCCCCTGAGCTCTGCCTGGGCCGCGATAGGGATTCAGGCTGTCGGACTCTGGAGTCCTCTGCCACCCTCAGCCCTGGGCCAGTTTGCCTGTGGCAGGCAGCTGTCCCATCTGTAAGCTCCACAGGGACCTTCCCCACCTGGGACAGATGTGCCTGTGGGGCACCCTTCAGTCTGCAGCTGGAGCACCCTTCGGGAGCACCAGGTCTGCGGCGGGAGCCCTCCCCTGGGGCCTGGGAGTGGAGCCTGGGGGCAGACTGCAGGCCGCCTGGCTCCCCTCCCCATGTCTTTCCATAAAAAGGCTGAAAGATTTGTCTGGCATTCTGGAATGTACCTGCCTCAGAAATGCCTCCACTTCCAGATCGAAGGCTAGCAGAAACCTTGGCCGTGCCACCCATGGTCAGGGCAAGGCCTCGGGTAAAGCGCCTAAAGGGACATCCCTGACCTTCCCCAGAGAGGACGATGCCACAGGCAGCTGGAGCCCAGCCAGCGGGCAAGGCCAAGGGAAGCGCTGTCTGGGCTGCCGCCACCGTCTTGCCCCCCAGATTCAAGTGTGCCCACAAAACGGGCTCAACGCAGCGTGGTGGGAGCCCAGGGCCACGCTGCCCTCCTGCCCCGTGGCGGGGGGAGACCAGAGCCGACGGGCTGCCGCGGGAGGACGGGGACTGGCGTCAGGGTCACCCTTCTCCGTCCCCTTCTTCTGTTTTATTAAAATCAAGGAGGCTCGTTCTCTCCCCCGAGCCCCTCCAGGTTTCATCTCTTCTATCTTTTTCTCCTCCAGTCCCACACTTCCTCCCTTGCCCCTTCCTGCTCCTTGACCCTCTTCCTCCTCCTCTGTCCCCTTGTGTCCTCCTTGTGGCCCATGTGCTCGCACGCACACACCACACACACACTATTATGTACATTACACATACCTGCATTATACACAAAACACACACACATTGCACACGTGCACGGCGCACACCCATTATATACGCATACACTGTACACACAACACACGTTATACACACACGTTACACGGACTGTACACACGTACACTACACACACACAACACGCACACATTACACCACATGCACAGCGCATTACACACACACACATTATACACACACTATACACAGTATACATACATTATACACATGTTACATACACGATAACACACACTGTGTGTTACATACGTTACACATACCTGTACTACTCACATATATTACACGCACACTATACACACAGGCTCTATGTCTGGGTCCCATCTACTTTCAGGTGAAAAGTAAGGCCAATATGAATGGGGCAGGAGACAGTCTTTTAAGTTCCCCTGAGGATTTAACTGCAGGTTTTGGCCCTGGGGAGACACCATCCATCGATCACACCCTGATGACATTTCCCAAAGCTTGCCTGGAGGGACCCATCCTGACTAGAAAGGGTAACAGCACTAGACCAGTATTAAACCTCAAATTTCCAAGCTGCCAAACAGGTCTTAGGGAGTCACTTGTACCCACCACATGCCCCCAGCTCTGGGCTTCCCACGAGACCATGGTGTTTCCTCTTGAATGTATGTGACCCCCGGAACAGCATTAAACCTTTAACTGAGTGTATGACCATTTTCCACAGAGTTTGCTCCATTTGTTATTTTTAGTTAAGCACACTTCTCGATATTCAAATGTTCTATTAAAAAACTGAGTGTGAAAAAAACCCACTTTACTACTATAGAAGGAAGAACGGATATAACGTGACCAACTTCAGGTGTAACAGTATTGTTTCAAAGAGAATTATTGTAGGATTATAAAAACATGGAATAATCAACTAAATAATAAACAAAGCTGTTAGTAAGTGTCAGGTGTGTGAATGTTACCTTGTATCTTTCGAAAATCAGAGTGATCTGGTTGGACTTACTGGGAAACTATCCCTGTTTTAAATGTTCCACCTCTGGGAGGCCTGGGTGGCTCAGTGGGTTAAACGCCTGACTTTGGCTCAGGTCATGATACCAGGGTCCTAGGATCGAGCCCCGCATCAGGCTCCCTGTTCAGCGGGGATCCTGCTGCTCCCCCTGCTTGTGTCCTCTCTCTTTTTCTCTCTCTCTGACAAATAAATAAATAAATAATCTAAAAAAATAAAAAAATAAATAAAATGTTCCATCTCAGATGCAAAATAGGCCTTATAGCCTGTCATCCTAACTAAAAAAAAAAAAAAAAAAAAAAACTAAACACCTCACAGCAAATTGTATTATGTAGGAGTGGTTCTCATCTTCTCTATCCCCATCCAGATAATTAGCTGATGAAATCTATTTATTGCATATCTGCTGTATTTCGCACGCCATGCACAGTGCCGAGGGTATGCTGGTGAGTAAGACAAGTTTGTTCTTCATCACAGAACCTGGCGTTTTATGGGGTAAAGGGAGACATTGAGCCCATTATTACAGGCTGAAGAGAACCATGGCCGAGAAGTACAGGATGATGGGAGGCACCAAAATTTCTCTTTGGGCGTTTAAGGCAAATGTTGCAAAAGGCCCTCCCTGACACTTCCCTGTCTTGTACTCTGTGGAGGCATTTGGGATAGGCTGGCTCTTATGAAATGCTGCATGCTGGGCAGCCCAAGCACTCAATTGCTTTTTTTTCTCTCTACCATGTAACTTTAAATAGCTGTTCTCTCTGCTGCCCCCAAAACATGTGATTCCCTTTGTCCTCAAAACCCAGAGATGAAGTGCCTGCACACTCAGTAGGCCTTCTTGCCAAGTAATGATGAGAGTGCTTTTCCCCACGCAAGCAGAAGCTAGTCAAAGGTGAACACTGTGGCAGTTCTAAAACATGACCACAAATTCTTTGAAACCCTTCCCCTCTAGAAGTGTGTTCTACTGCCTCTCCCCTTGAATCTGGGCAGGTTGGTGACTGTTTTAACCAATAAATGTTGTTGGAAGTGACACTGGGTGACTTCCCAGCCTGAGTCAAAAATGCCTTGGGGGGCGCCTGGGTGGCTCAGTTGTTAAGCATCTGCCTTCGGCTCAGGTCATGATCCCAGGGTCCTGGGATTGAGTCCCACATCGGGCTCCCTGCTCAGCGGGAAGCCTGCTTCTCCCTCTCCCACTCCCGCTGCTTGTGTTCCTGCTCTCACTGTCTCTGTCTCTGTCAGATAAATAAATAAAATCTTTAATAAAAAAAAAAAAAAGGCCTCGAGGCTTCTGCCTCCTTCTCTGGAACTCTGGCTCGCAGAGCTCTGAGCCATCACATAAGAAATTTGAGGCCACCATGCTGGAGAGGTCACATGGAAGCACCGTGGTCCACAGTTCCAGCCAAGCCAGCCTTCTAGACATTCCTGCTGAGGCACCAGACACGTGACTGAAGCTGGCTTGGACCCTCACGATCAGTCTCTCTGCCAGTTGCATACCACC